GTGTGTGTATATATAAAAATATATTAAAAAATAATAATAATATACACACACACATATATATATATGTATGTGTGTGTGTATATATTATTATTATTTTTTTATCAATTATTTTGTGGCTAAAAAGTATTGGTTCAGGCACCGTTTTGGCACCGGTACCATTTTAAAAGTATCAATTCAGCACCGGTATAAAAAACCCCAAACAATTCTCAACCCTACTTAATTTTGACTCATATTTGAAAAACAACAGGTTTTTTTTTTTCTTTTTTTTTTGCTTGACTAGAAAATCCTTCTTGATTCAAGACTTTTAAGATTTGGACTAGAAATGAGACTAAAACTTGAAGAAAGAAAAGCATTTTTTTACAGTGTTGAAGTACATTTAACCAAAGTCTGTACAGGTCTATGAACAGAGAGCTTTTACCTATAAAATACACACTTTAACATTGTCTTTAAACCACTTTTATGACACCTTCATGGCCTTTTTGAAGCTCGAACATGTTAGTTGTGTAACTTTAAGCTTGTCTTGATGTTTGATGAATGGAAGTCATATGGGTTGGAATAGTGCAGTGTTGAATCATATTTCTTTTCAAGTTTCAGTCTTTTACCTCACACAAAGCTCTCATGTGACTTAAGAAGATTCTAAATCCAGCGCTTAAACCATACAGGGTCTTTTTCTAGAGAGAAGCCGAATATAATACATTGGCTTTTACATTCTGCTTCTACTTTTACCCTCAATGTGAAACATCATGATGAGATGATGACAGAATATACATTGCTTTTTAAAGGCACGGTTCATCCAAAAACGAATATTCTGTCATCATTTTCTCATCTTCCACTTGTTTCTTTCTTCTGTTAAACACAAAGGAAGTATACTGAAGGATGCTGGAAGAAACAGCCATTGACTTCTATAGTATTTTTCCATACACTAAAACCCAACAGTCAGCTTTACAGTCAGATGAAATGAGTGTAGTAAACTCAAAATTGACTGAAAGTGAAATCTACTCATTTGAAAAGAGTTTTGAACTCTGTGTTGAAGGTAATGAGTTCATTAAACACCTCATTACTTCAACTTAAATGGAGTAAGTTCACAGTACTCGTATAGATAGTTTTTAGATAGACAGTTGCCTTCACTTATTGGGTTTAAAGTACTGAGTTGGTTTAAGGTGTCTTCATTTATTAGGATTGACTATGCTCAAATTGCTTCGCTTACTCAAATGGATCAAGTTCACAGTACTCATTCGGATTAGTTTTTGAACTTAAATGGTTTGTTGCAATCGTTTTCCTCAAGTGGTTTGAGTTACCTTTACTTTTTGGGTTTTACAGTGTACTATGAAAGTCAATGGCTGCTTTTTTACAGCATACTTCAGTATATCTTCCTTTGTGTTCAACTGAAGAAACTCATGAACATTCAGGACCACTCGAGTGTGAGTAAATGATGAGAAAAGATTAGTTTTTGGGTGAACTATCCCTTTAAAGAACAGGAACTCCCCCTCTAAGTGTCAAAGCTTTATTCTGTAAACCGCCCACTTGTGTCTGTCATGTTGTGCTATTTTGTTTTCTCGCCTTCTTCCACACAAGACAAATCACTAAGAAACATATGTTAAAACACAACGTGTCTTGTGTGACATGCTGCTTTTTGTTTGGCAAATGTAATCCTTCTTTTACCGTAGCTTTTTCAGTAAGTGTCCTGTGTTTCAAAGGGGTTGTTTCAGGTTTTTATTTACTGATCTGGGCCCGTATTCACAAAACATCTTAAAGGAACACTCTAAATAGGCTCATTTACTGCTCTCCTAGAGTTGAACAGTTGATTTTTACCACTTTTAAATCCATTCAGCTGATCTCTTGGTTTAACAGGAGCACTGTTAGCTTAGCTTAGCATAGATCATGGAATCGGATTAGACCATTAGCATCTTGTTAAAAAAATGAGCTGTGATGGTTCTCCCATTTAAAGCTAGACTCTTCTGTGGTTACATCGTGTACTAAGATGGACAGAAAATAAAAAGTTGGGATTTTCTAGAATGATTTGGCTAGCAACTACACTCTCATTCTAGCGTAACAATCGAGGTTCGATAATCAACGTTCCAAGCCATGTCAGAAAACAAAAATAAATTAATTCTGTCGGTCATAGTACACAATTTAGAGACAGAAGAGTTGAGCTTTAAACGGAAAAATAATCGTTAGTTTTTTTATGCTAATGGCCTAATCCGATTCATTGATTGATGCTAAGCTATGCTAAAAAGAAACATTTTAAAAACATTTAAAAAGAAACATTTTAAAAACATTTGTCCACAGTGATTTTAACAAATTATCACCTTAATCATGGACGTATTCCCATATGATCCGAAATATAACGTTTAATAATTTAAAATGTAATACTCTCTCAAACTAATATGCAACTTATATGTTCTGTAAATACAAAT